TAACCGGGGAGCAGGGGGACGATAGGAAGGGCAGTAATTGAAACAATGAGTGGGAGGGGCAGGTATGACGGGCGCAGGGGGCCATATCATGTGTTGGGGGTGCGTACACGCTGCTTACGAGCAATTACGCACTCCGGCCCCCAATGCGCGACTCGTGTCCTGGGTTGTGCAGAGTCTCAGGCCCAGGGTCCGTGGCTGATGTTGTGTAATGCCAGGTCGGTTGTTAATAAAGCCCCCCTCATTTGTGATCTTATTTTGGAGGGGGGTGCAGACCTGGCAGGTATTACGGAGACCTGGTTGGGCCAAGAGGGGGGGGTCCCCCTTGTTGAAATGTGCCCACCAGGTTTCCATGCATTTCATCAGCCAAGGGCCCAGGGGAGGGGTGGGGGAGTGGCGGTGATTATTAGGGAAAGTCTTAGTCCGAGGGAGACCACTGTTCCTCAGATAGCCAGATGTGAGTCCCTCTTTGTGAAGTGGGGCCGTGGGGTGCAGATGGGTTTGCTGACTACGTACCTGACTCCCTGCCACGTGGCAGTGACCCTGCCCGAGCTACTCGACGTCATTGCCGGGGTGGCAGTTGATACCCCCAGACTTATTGTCATGGGGGATTTCAACCTTCCGTCTGCGGGTGAGGCGTCAGAGGTGGCTTGGGAGTTCATGGCTTCCATGATGGCCATGAACCTGACCCAGTTAGTTCACGGCCCAACTCACATAGGGGGACACACTCTGGACCTGATTTTTGTCTCTGGTCAGTGGTTGAATGATCTTGGTAGAGGGGACCTAGACATCAAACCCTTGTCATGGACAGATCATTCGCTCCTTCACTTGGACTTTCCTACCGCTTTCCCCCACCGCAGGGAGACGGAACCGACAAAATGGTTCCGTCCCAGGCGCCTGATGGATCCCGAAAGGTTCCTGACGGAGCTTGGGCCGTTTCCTGAGACTCTGGCACACAACTTGACTGAAGAGCTGGCGGCCGCCTGGGAGAGTGCAGCCACCGGAGCTTTGGACCACGTCGTGCCTTTGCGGCCCCTGACCCGATGCCGATCACAATTGGCTCCTTGGTTCTCTGAGGAGCTGAGAGAGATGAAGCATCGGAAAAGACGCCTAGAGAGCATTTGCAGGACTAGTCAATCCGATTCTGACCGGACACAGGTGAGGTCTTATATCAAGATTTACCTAGTGGCGATAAAAGCGGCAAAATCTAATCATTTTTCCGCTCTTATCGCATCTGCAGAGAACCGCCCAGCCACCCTGTTTAGGGTGACCCACTCCCTTCTTCGGGGGGGAGTGCGGGAAGATCCCTTGCAGGGTCATGCTGAGGATTATGTGCAATTCCTGCATGATAAAGTTGCTCGGATTCGGGATGGCTTGGACTCCGACTGGATGTGTCCAGGGGAGGAGACGAGGGTAGGTCTTGAGAATATTATCTGGGAGGAGTTTGATCCTGTGGCTCCCAAGGATGTGGACAGGGTCCCGGGTAAGATTAGTGCCGCCACGTGTTTATTGGACCCGTGTCCCTCCTGGTTGGTACTGGCCTCCTGGGAGGTTACACGAGGCTGGCTCCAGGGAATTATAAGTGCTTCTCTGAGTGAGGGTGCCTTTCCTGCCGCCTTGAAAGAGGCGGTAGTGAGGCCCCTCCTCAAGAAGCCGTCCCTGGACCCGGCTGAATTAGCCAACTACCGTCTGGTCTCCAACCTTCGTTTTGTGGCGAAGGTTGTTGAGAGCGTGGTGGCATGACAGCTTCCCCGGCACCTGGATGAAGCTATCTATCTGGACCCGTACCAGTCAGGCTTCAGGCAGAGGTACAGCACTGAAACGGCATTGGTCGTGTTGGTGGATGATCTCTGGAGGGCTCGGGACAGGGGTTGCTCCTCTGTCCTAGTCCTATTAGATCTCTCAGCGGCTTTTGATACCATCGACCATGGTATCATGCTGCAGCGGTTGAGAGGGTTAGGAATAGGGGGCACTGTTCTGCGGTGGTTCTCCTCCTTCCACTCTGGCCGCTCGCAGTTTGTGTTGGCAGGGGGGCAGAGGTCGACCTCGAGGCGCCTCGCATGGGGAATGCTGCAAGGGTCGGTCCTCTCACCCCTTCTGTTCAACATTTATGTGAAGCCGCTGGGTGAGATCATCCGTGGTTTTGGGGTGAAGTGTAATCTGTACGCTGATGATACTCAGCTATTCATCTCCACCCCAGACCACCCCAACGATGCCCTTGATGTGATGTCTCGCTGCCTGGAGGCCGTGCGGGTCTGGATGGGGAGGAACAGGCTCAGACTCAACCCTTCCAAGACCGAGTGGCTGTGGCTTCTGGCGTCCCGATATAGTCAGCAGGTGCCATCGCTGACTATTGGGGGTGAATCCTTGCCCCCCACAGAGAGGGCTCACAATCTGGGTGTCTTCCTGGCTGTCTTTAGAAGAGCATATGACGGCCGTGGCCAGGGGGGCCTTTTATCAGGTTCACCTGATTCGCCAGTTGCAGCCCTTTCTGGACCGGGACACCTTGCACACGGTCACTCACGCCCTTGTCACCTCCTGGCTGGACTATTGTAATGCTCTCTACATGGGGCTCCCCTTGAAGAGCACTCGGAGGCTCCAGCTGGTCCAGAATGCGGCCGCACGGGTGGTTATGGGCGCAATCCATTGTGCCCACGTGACACCCCTCCTGCGCGAGCTGCACTGGCTCCCAGTGGTCTTCCAGGTGCGATTCAAGGTGTTGGTCACCACCTTTAAAGTGCTCCATGGCATGGGACCCGGGTACCTTCGAGACCGACTTCTGCCACCAATAGCCTCCCACCGGCCAGTTCGCTCCCACAGAGAGGGTCTCCTCAGGGTGCCATCGGCCAAGTTATGTCGGCTGGTGACACCCAGGGGGAGGGCCTTCTCTGTGGGAGCCCCAGCCCTGTGGAATGAACTGCCCCTGGAAATACATAAGATCTCCGACCTCCGGCTATTTCATTGTGCACTCAAGACCCTGTTGTTCCGCCAGGCTGGGCTATCAACATAACAATTTTAAATTGGGTTTTAAATTCCTGGGGTTTTAAATTGAGCCAAATTCATTTAATAATTTTAAATTATTTTAATTGATGTTGTCTTGTGTTTTTAATAGGCTGTACACCGCCCTGAGTCCTTCGGCAGAAGGGCGGTATAGAAATAAAATTCTTTATTTATTTATTTATTTTATATTAATAATACTAATTAGGAATAGTGCTTTCTGGCAGACCTCCAGTTATTTGGTTGGTGGGCTTCTGGAAAGCAACTCCCATGGCACAAGAAGCTGCACAAGAAGTGACTGAAACCCACTCCTGGGGGGGGGTGACACTTGGTGGGAAGGGAAACCAAGGTGAAAGATCCATTATTTATTTTCTTTAATGTGTTTCAAATCAAAGGACAACATTACTTGCTGGCCTCTTTACAAAGACAGATTAGAGTTTGCTACGTTGATGTTGTTCAGGTGATGAAGTTGAAATGTTTTGCTGTCATTTTAGCGATGGAAGGAATGTACCTAAATCTTGCTATAACAATCAGCTCCCATGCTCATTCCTGAGGGATGTCTCCTAGCATTAAAATTTAAGAGATGCCACACATCCTTTATTTCTCTTTTTTACTAAGTGGAGGGAAGAGGTACAGAGATCATCTGGACTATTCAAAGATTCCCCTGACAAGATGTAACATGATGACTGCACAAATTAAAACTTTGTTCTGACCCCAAGTCTTCTTCGGCCATAGTAATTAATTACAAGCAGAATTAATCACTTCAATCAAAACCCATGTCAAATACATGGAGCCCACAGGTAGGAAAATGCAAGGCCTTTGGGTGGAAAGAGATGGAGTTATGGCTGCCTTTCTAGTCAAGATAAATGATCTATTAAATTACAGGCATGCCCAGCTTTTTAGTTCCTGTTCTCTGGGAGGATTGCATTCAATTCAGTCAGCAATTATCTGTAACATGAGAAAAAAATCTTTACTCCAGAAACAAGCTCTAAAAGGTCAAAACGTAATCTCTGTCTTCAAAAAGACTTTCCAGTGTAGGTTTGATGTAATAAAGAAAGCAATGTACTGGTAAATACATTGAACTTCTATACCTGCATCACCCAACTTAATATCTTTGTCAGATGCATGGGAAAGCAGGAATAAAAATCTTGAATACTGATGAAAAATAAGGTTGCCTAATATTATTTGTTTGCCAAATTATTGATTTGTGCGTGTGAATTTTTTGTTTCCTAACAGAGAGAATAACAATACAGCAATGGCAAAATTAACAGAATACTATATATGTCAGGGCCTGTGGCAGGCCTGAAGATCCAACAAAAAAGATGGGTTCCAGGCCTGACAGTATATACATAACAGAACTTTAACTAAATTTAAAGAGCAAATTCAAGTTATGGAGGCAAGATTAAATATAATTTTTTAATGTTGTGTGTTAACCTCTTAGGAAAAATACAAATGCCCTTAATGAATATGTGTATATTAATTAATTAATTAATTTCATATTAATCCTTAGCTAATTATGGTACACTGAATTAACTTATTGTCTGAATGAAACATAAATTACCTGATCACATCTTAACTAGCCTGTTGTGTAAACCAATCTCTTAATTTTTAATTATGGTGATAAAATCAATGGGATCAAGATTTTGGATGCAATATCTTCTAAATCTGGTATAAACATGACATGAACAATTATAGGTCACTGAGAAAGTTGTTAGACATCGAGCCACTTATTTTCATTGAATCTTAGGTACTACTGGTACCATTTTTCTTATGCCTATTTGACTTATTCAAAGATTCATGTAAACTACGTGCAGCCTAATGATATTATAAACAAAATGTCATATCTTCTTATAAAGGATTCTTGTAGCAAGTCCAGAATAATTTGATAAAGCTAGATTATTGCTCACATGTTTTACTGCAATTGATTGTAAATGAAAAAAATATGGTTTACATGTGCTAACTTATAAAACACTTATACATTCACAATCAAATGCAATAAAATATTTCTTCCATTACTGTAGGGTTATTACAATGCTCATCTGTATGGTTTTTGGAACTGCAGTTACACGAAATTGCAAACATCAGCAATTCTCATCTTTGAGCAGTGTTTCTAGCATGTACAAGGACACAGGGTGAAACAATGTATAACCTGTAACATTTGCCGCTTTCAGTGTATCTTGTGTAGCTATCATTGTGTGTGAATACATGCATTTTCTCATGAAAACCAATGATGTAATTACTAACCAATTATTGTGCCTTGGAGATTTGTTAACCAATAATAAAGTAACACGCATAGTAGGTGAGAACTGAGAAACTTAGAAACTATATAAACTATGTCTGATGCTCAATAAAGTTGCTGTTGATTCTACTCTTAATTCTGCTATCCGTGGATGTTTTCCTTTCACTCATCTCACACATCTTCAGCCTCCGGGAAATGAATGCAACATTTGGCGCCCGGAACAGGGACCCATATTTCGTCCAGGCAAGGACAGGTGCACCGTCAGCCTTTGGGCTGCTTCTCAATCTTATCTCTTATAAGGTTTCTGTAAGTATGGGTTCTTCGCTTTCTCAAGGACAAAGGAAGCATGTAGATGATTTACTTTATCTTCTTAAAAAGTCTGAACTTTCTGTTTCACAGAAGGCTCTTTATCGGCTGGTACGAGAAATTGCCTTAACTTATTCATTCTATCCTGATAGGGGTTCTTTAAAATTGTCAGATTGGGAAAAAGTTGGCAAGGTTTTGCATTCTAAGATAAGTTTAGAGGTAGATATTTTGCATGCTTGGCATCTATGTAGACATGCTATAGAAATGTTTGGTCGGAAGGAAGAGGAGCTTTCTTCTCCTGTAACACCTCCTTCTGACACTCTGCCTGAAAAGGAAGCTTTGACTTCTGACTCTAAAGCTGAAGTTTCTAAATCTGAAGTACTTCCTTCTGCTTCCTCTGATATAGTAATACCTTCTGCTCCTTCTGACACTGAAATACCTTCTGCTCCTACTGATATTGAACAAAAGATTTTGAAGCCTCTTTCTGAGATTTTGAAACCTCCTTCTGAGATTTTAAAACCTCCTTCTGCTTCTTCTGTTCCTTCTCCTTCTGTCTCTTCTGACATTGAACAGAAATCTTCTAACATTGAACTGAAACCTCCTCCTTCTAATATTGTTCTAAAGTCTTCTTTTCAAAAGATGGTTGAAAATTGTAAGGCAGATGTTGCTATTTCTGGGGAAGAGTTAGCTGAATTGTTGTCAGTATGTCCAGTGCAATATCAACCAGGACCACAAGCTGGACAACAGATTGCAGAATGGGAAGGTTTGCCATTTCAAATTTTACGAGAGTTGAAGAAGGCTATTTCTGCTTATGGAATTATGTAAATCTTCTCCCCCTTCCTCCTCCTCCCTCTCTTGTGCATCCTCAGCCACAACAGGTAGCGCTGGGATCGATCTAATTACTCAAGAAGACTTGGATTTTAAATTTCCTTTAGAAGTTAAACTTGTTTCTTCTCAATACACTGGTCCTCTCCTTTCTGGATTAGTTGGTATTATTTTACCTCGCTCTTCTGCTCATAAATTAGGATGTTTTGTAGTTCCAGGAGTTATTGATTCTGATTACACTGGAGTTATTCTTATGCAAATTTGGGTTAATATTCCACAATTTCTTCCTAAAGGATCTTCTGTTGCACAACTTCTTTTTTTTCCTTATAAGGTACCTAATCCAGGTACTGGACAACGTGGTAATTCTGGATTTGGTTCAACTCTTAATTCTATAGGACTTCTTCAGTCTATTAATTCTTTTAGACCACTTCTTACTTTATATCTTAATAAACAATCTTTTCAAGGTCTGCTAGACACAGGTGCCGATGTTACTGTCATCTCCCTTTTACAGTGGCCTGTGCAATGGCCTAAACGTGATGTTCATTCCTTATGGGGCATTGGTGGGTCTACAACTGCTTGGCAAAGCATTCATCCCATAGTCATCACAACTTCTGCTGGTAAGTCTGTCTCTTTACATCCTTACATTTTAGATATTCATACTAATATTTGGGGTAGGGACCTTCTTTCTCTTCTTAATGCTCATTTGATCTTAGATGATGGCACTTCCTCTTAAATGGCTTTGTTCTACACATGTTTGGATTGAGCAATAGCCTTTATCTTCTGAAAAATTGATTGCTCTTCATTCCTTGGTACAGGAACAATTGACTGCTGGTCACATTGAACCTTCCACTAGTCCCTGGAATACTCCTGTGTTCGTTATAAAAAAAGAAAAGTGGTAACCGATGGGGCCTTTACAATGTGGCCTACCTAATCCTAATTTAATCCCACAATCTTATAAATTGTTAGTAGTAGATTTGAAAGATTGTTTTTTCACCATTCCTTTACAGTTGCAGGATAAAGAAAAATTTGCTTTCACTGTGCCTGTTTTAAATAATAGCCAACCTACACAATGATATCATTGGTCTGTTCTACCACAAGGTATGCTCAATTCTCCTACTATTTGTCAATATTTTGTGGATCAAGCTTTGCAACCTTTTCGTGCTCAATTTCCTTCTTTTTTAGTTTACCACTACATGGATCATATTTTAATAGCAGGTCCTGATTTTGATGAAGAACAAGTGCTATAAGCATTGACTACCATTGTAGCAAGCAGAGGGCTCTACATCGCTCCTGAAAAAATACAATGTACTGAACCTTATTCATATTTGGGATTTAAAGTTTTACAATCTTCCATTCCTATCTTACTTGAACTTAAAGTGCAATCTTCATATACTTTGGTCCAATGGCAAAAACTTTTAGGTACAATCAATTGAGCTCGTCCATATTTTCAAATTTCTACAGGAGAAATGTTACCTCTCTTTTCCTTGTTAAAAGGTTCTAAGCATCCTGAGGATCTGGTGTCTCTTACTGCTTTGCAAAAGAAATGTCTTCAAAACATTCTAAACAAACTTAAACTGAGATATGTTGATAGAATTGTCTCTATAGCTACTAAATTATGGTTAGCAATTCTTCCTACTTCACCTTTACCTACTGGTTGTCTTTATTCTCCTTTTACTGAAAAAAACGATTCATATTCATGAATGGTTGAATTTGTCTGCCTCTCCTCCTAGAAATATTTTTCCTTATCAACAAGCCTTAGAAGAATTGATCATGAAAGCACGACGACGATCTTTGCAATTAATAGGTCATGATTTGGATGGTATTGCTTTCACTAGTACTACACAAGTACTAAACTTGAACATGAACATTTAATGACTGTTTCTGATTCCTATCAAATTGCTTTTTCTCAATATCTTGGTGATATTCAATATTCTTTACCTAAAGATCCTAGAATAGTTATTACAAATACATTAAATCTTTCATTTTCTTCTATTTTTACTCGTTCTCCTCTTCCTGAAGCTTTAACAGTGTTCACAGATGGATCACCTACTCGTGGTGTTGTGGTTTGGACAGATGGTCAACAATGTTTTTCTAAATTTACTTCTACTCAGACATCTGCCCAACGTTCTGAGTTGGCAGCTGTTATTTTGGCTTTGAGATTGTTTTCTGATCAGCCTATTAACTTAATTGTTGATACAAAATATGTCTTTCTTGCAATGCAATCTCTTCCTTATGCATATTGTTCTGTTTCTCTTGATGTTAATCTTTTGTCTTTATTTTTATCTTTAAAACATGTTTTGGAAGAATGTGTCTTTCCTTTATATGTTGAGCACATTAGGCCATACTCCTTTTCAAAATTCTTTAACAGAAGGAAACAGACAAGCTGATAAAACTTTAAAAGATGTCATAATTCTTTTTTCTGATCCTGTTGCTAGTCATTCATATTTTCATCAAAATGCTAAATCTTTGGCTAAACAATTTTCTGTTCCTATCTCCCAGGCTCGTGATATTGTTCGGGGATGTACTTCCTGTCAACAATTTGCAATTCCTTTTCCTATGGGAGTAAATCCTCGAGAAACAAAAGCCAACCAAATTTGGCAAATGGATGTCACACAATTTACATGCAACCACTGACACATATTCTCATTTTTTATGGGTTATTGCTTCTAGACATGAGCGCACTTCTGATGCAGTGTCTCATTGTCTTTCTGCTTTTTCTGTAATGGGAAGACCAAGTCAATTGAAAACTGACAATGATCCAGCATATACTAGTAAGGAATTTACTTCTTTCTGTCAACAATGGAATATTCAATTGATACATGGAATTCCTTACAACTCCCAAGGGCGAGCTATAATTGAGCGAGCTCATCATACATTCAAAGCTACATTAACTAAATTAATCAAAACTGAATCTGGTCCATTCCATTTGCGAAAGATTCAAAATTTGATCTCTATTGCTCTGTATGCATGGAATTACTTAACATTTTTAGATTCCTTTTCAGAAATTCCAATCAACTTACATTTTCATATTCAGGATCCTGTTTCACGACCTTTGGTACTCTATCGTCAACTTCCTGATCCTGCCTGGCGTGGACCTACAAAACTTATAACCTGGGGTCATGGTTACGCTGCAATTGAAGATCTGCAAACGAAACAAGCTGTGTGGATTCCAGGCCGATGTGTTCATCCTTATCATGGAAAAACAAATGAAAACTCTCAAGTTACAACATCCTCCACTCTTGACTTGGGACCAATTTGAAGTTCAACAACGATTCAACAAGTCCTTTCTTATGTGCTGTTTTTTCTTTTTTTCTCTCTCTCTCTATTTTCTGATAATTCTGAAGCAATTATTGATTTTCCCCTTAGTCCTAATCTTTGGATTCGTCATGCTCAATATATGTTTTTGATTCATGGTAGTAATATAACTTTATATTATGAACCTCCTATGGCTTTTGGTCAAGTTGCCTTTATTCCTAATTTAGTTAAGTCTTCTGCTTTCATTGTTTTGCAACTTCAACATATTTCTTCTTCTTGGTTATTTTCTACTCCTCCATATGAATTGAATTTAGTTAAATGGAAGTATCTTTGTATTAATCAATTTACTAGAGGTTTATGTTTTTGTTGTTATGCTCGTCATAATTAGCTTAATAAATGGTCTGATTATTCAAAAGCTAAACGTATTTTAGATAAAGTAGGGAATTATAGTTATTGTATTCAGAAATATTGGTTATGGGGTAATATTAATGAAACATCACAAGGACATAATATTATACCTGATATGTATCCTGATGATTTTCCTATTTTTCAAGTCACTGACGTCTCTGATATGGGATCAAGTGGATCAATCTGTGCTGGATGGCAATTAAAAGATCCTGCTATGTGGTTTTTCTTTGATAAATATGCAACAAATGTACACCCTCAAAACTATCAATGTGCTGCAATTGGATATTTGTCTTTACCTGTACAAATAGGTGTTTCTGATAGATTGTCAACTCGAAGGAGACGTGCGGTCATGGGATCAACATGTTCTGATGAAGTCATTATTGATACTCAACTTTCTTCATTGCCTACTTTTGGACGTGCTTTAGCTGGAGCCATAACTGGAACTATTACTTTGGGATCATATCCAGGAATAATAGCTCAAGAAAATAGACATTCTGTTCTGGGACTAACATGTCGATTGGAGAAATCTATTAATGCTACTGCTGCTATTATTTGTGATTTGCAAAATGAAATCGAAGAACTAAATTAAGATTTGATTCAACAACGCTTTGCTATAGACTATTTGTTAGCTCGTCAAGGTGGATTTTGTACCTTGGTTGGTCAACATGCTTGTGCTGTGCATTTTCATTCACTTAATAAGACAATTGAAGATGAATTAGCTAATATACAAGCTGATATAAAAAATAATGTACATGTGGAATTTTCTCCTTTTGCTTGGCTAACTGATTGGTTACCTGATCTTGCTTGGTTAAAACAATTGTTTTTCTATGGTGTAATTGTATTTGCATTACTTATACTTTTTTGTTGTTGTATGCAATGTATTCCTACATTTTTTGCAATGTTTTGTAAGTCACCTCAATTTACTTTAACCTTCATTAAAATAAAAAGCGAGGAAATGTAGGGTTATTACAATGCTCATCTGTATGGTTTTTGGAACTGCAGTTACACGAAATTGCAAACATCAGCGATTCTCATCTTTGAGCAGTGTTTCTAGCATGTACAAGGACACAGGGTGAAACAATGTATAACCTGTAACATTTGCCGCTTTCAGTGTATCTTGTGTAGCTATCATTGTGTGTGAATACATGCATTTTCTCATGAAAACCAATGATGTAATTACTAACCAATTATTGTGCCTTGGAGATTTGTTAACCAATAATAAAGTAACACGCATAGTAGGTGAGAACTGAGAAACTTAGAAACTATATAAACTATGTCTGATGCTCAATAAAGTTGCTGTTGATTCTACTCTTAATTCTGCTATCCGTGGATGTTTTCCTTTCACTCATCTCACACATCTTCAGCCTCCAGGAAACGAATGCAACACATTGCTTGAATAAATCTTATATTGACTCAGGTTATGATCCATCTCAATGAATTTTAAAACCAGAGAAGAGGGAACAATGATGTATGTAGAGGTAAAGCAATTTTCTACATGAATATACCAAGCCAAGTGGCAAGTTCCCTCATTCCCGTATTATAGTGAATGATTTTTTTTTCTTTCCATGATGAGAGATGTTCATGCCAGCCCAAGTCCAACCAGTTGCTCAGCCCTCTAGTAGATAAATATTCTTTATATTTTGTCTCATGCACTATGGCATCTACCAGATTTATGGGACAAAAATATTATAATAATCCCCCAGTGAGACACTAGCTTGATGTGGTGGTGGGGCTTGTATGCTCTGAGAAAGATGTCAGCTATGCCAGAGCTTCAACCATACTGGATAGATCTCATCAGAGGAGTTAGAGAAAGAGCGTGTCTCCCATAAACAATATTGTAAAATGTCACTTACAAAAAACTATATTGGATCGGTCGTCAACAAGGATTATGCTAGGTGTTGGAATTCATAGACATCTGGTGACAAGTGGGTTAAAGGACTCAGGACTAAGCAACCAGGACCAACAGCTGCAAGACTACTGGAAGAAAAGTTGCTTACCTGTTGCAAATATACAAAGAAATGATATGCTATTATAAGTCATGTCCAATGAGAAGAGGATACCTGAAAAGAATGTACCATTTCTGGAAAGAACATCCAGAATCAGAAATAACAGAACAGAGGCTAGGAGATGAACTTTGATTTACAATAAGAAATAAAGTATTCACAGAAGTAGAATTGTAAGAATTACAATTCTACTTCTGTGAATTCTGCTGAATTCTCTGAATTCTGCTAAAAAAAACCAAAGCTTTGCCAGAAATAACTCACACAATAGAGACAAACCAGAGGGAGTTGGTAGTAGAGGAAGCCACTACTGCTAAAGAATTATTCACAATATCAATCCAGTCTTTATTTGTCTTTTGCTATATAAGACATCATTGGTGTGTAAGAGACACAACAAACTTAGCTGACAACACAGGGAAAGTTTGTGAAAAACCTCCTAACTGATAGGGGAAAAAAGTTATAGATGATATCTTGTTAATGTCTTTCATTTTTAAAAAAGTCAGTTCTAAAGCAACAGATAAGAAAAAGCTGTGCAGTGAAATTAAAGCTCAGCCCCTGAAAAAAAAAAAAAAAAAACCAAAAAACCAAGCTGTACACAGTTGTCTTGCAGTTGGGCTATGGGCAGCAAGTCCTTGGCATTTGTCGGGGAGATTTAGATCCATATCTGTGCCTTGGCCACCAAATTCACTGTATGACTTGGGGGTCAGTTAATCATTCTTCATTTGCTATTATTAAAGTCTGTGAATGGATATGGCTGAAAAATAGTATGCATGCCCTTAGAGGAATTTGATAAAAATATAATAAAGAAAAACTAAGGTGGGGTTGTTGTTTGATAGTAAGTTGACCTTTCTAACTTGCTCTGCCAATGAGAGAAGATTTCTTAATTAAGATGAATAGTGATGATATCACAATCTGAAGGAACAAATATATTACAGCCAGAAATAAAGCCCATTCTATTTAAAGTGTACATCCATTTACATTTGGTGTACCTGATACTTGGTTTTAACAAAACAATCTTGTCAATGCATTGGTTAAGCATTTTCTGCAGATGAATAGAACAATTAATATTGACTTTTTAAAAGCAGCATTACTTTTGTTAAAATATATTTGTACTTATAACTGTTGTGAAAAATATCTGAAGCCTCTTTATACATTTTTCTTTTCTATTTTTCTTTAACTTTTTTCTTTTCTTGCACCTTTTGCTTTTGTTAGCTAAAAGTATTAGCATTTGTTTTCTCTTTAAAAGTTCCAATAAACATTATACATAAAAAAGCAGCATTGCTCTTTTTTAGGAAAAAAATCCCCAAAATAATGAAAATATAATTTGTGAAAATACCCTAACATCAAAACTATACTGCTCTGTCAATCTACTACCTTATATCTACATACTGGTGTGTGTGTGTGTGTGTGTGTATCAATGAACAGTTAAAAATATTAAAGAGATATACATATTAAATACTGCCATGCAAGCACTGCTGCTGCTGCTAAAATTGTTTGCAACCAATTTTATTTTCCGATTTTTAATAAATATATGTATGATATATACACTGTTGCTCAAGTATACAAATGAAAGCAGCCATCATTTTGGATAAGGAGATATTATCTCTAATACTCATCAAACTAATTTCAAAGGATGTTATTGTATGTCCTTCCACATAGTTCAAATTGATTATGCTGTAAAGGGGTATGCAAAAATGAAAAAAAATAGAGCAAAACTATATATCTTTACTTACAGACAATATTGCTCCTCTTCAAGATGACTAATTTCACCCAGGTTCCAGGAAAGGCAAAGTGACTGCTGAATTTCTTCTCCAGTGAAGTTTCTTTTCATGATTTTTAGAGGATTTTGAAGATATTTTTCCGGGATTCTTTCAGAAGGACAGTGAAAGGAACATAGCCACAGAAATAGCTGAGGAAAATGTTCAGATAGGATGGTGATGATGACATAGACACTGGAGAAATAGAGGCAATAAATACTTGAGACCAGTCATATTTCATTATTCTGCTGGGTAGAAACATGATATTCTTACAAGACCATGCACTAAAAGCATTTAACAGAAGGAAAAACTGCAATAAACAACAATGATCTTCTACCCTGTCCCTATCCTATTTTAACAATCATATGGTTTTCCACTCATATTCAGATATGACATTCAGACTTATACACTTCTATCAAAACAACTGGGGCCAAATCAAAGTGTTGAGCTACTTAAAATAGATGTTTTAAAACAATGTTATCATCTAGCAATCCTTTAGAAGAGTCCAGGAACTAAAAATTTTAATATAGCTACCAGAAAATCTACTGAATGAGAACAAATTGCTAAAGAAAGAAAGACACTTCAAAGAGCCCTCTCAAGTAAGACATCAACACAGTTCAGCTATACTGCAAATAAAGGGATGTGTGTTCAATATTCATTCAGTTCTGTACAATAATTTATGAACTTACAATGTAACACAGTGGTTTGTGACTGTTTTTGCTGATGATAGCCTTATATATTGTATTCAGTGGTACCATATTCCATTTTCTATTGTTACAGTAGTCTCAAGAACTCATATTGAGTTACGTTACGTTATTATAGTACAGACTACATGGAAAGCTAAGCCTAAAGAAAATATATTTTCTGAAAGCACTGTGTTGCAATTACAAACTCTATAAGCTGTTCCAAACAAATTGTCAGCCTCCAAAGCTGCTTAATTATTATGCATGCTTGTATACAGTACAGTATATTTCCAATATTAAATTATTATGGAACAACCAAATAAATTGACCTAAATTTAATTTAATTTAATTGGGGGGGAGGTAAATCTCTTTTGAGAAGATTTACATAATCTTTGGATATTGGTGGAGGGCTGTATAAACACACTCTCGTATTTCTTTCAACTATGTATAATCATTACTTTTTCCAGTTTTTATATTCTTGAGTGCAGAAAATCCCATCTCACAAACAAAATGTTAAATTTGCATGAAGATTACCAGAACTTTTATTGTTTTGCAATCTGAGGACATTCATTCTTCATTCATACCCCAAATTCATCAAGAGCCACTTCCTCATGCTTTAATTTCAAATTGCAATCATTCCATATGTTCCACTAATTATTATTCTTCTGTCAGCCTAAGCTGGGATTGGTTTGATTTTGCTTCAATAAAGGGGTTTCATAAGCAACCTAGTTTTCAATGGATATATTTATAAATAGTACTGAATTTTCTTTTCCTGCACTCCAAGATGCTCAGCAATTAGGCATATGACCTCATTATTGCTTCTCACAGCAACATTTGGGAACATCGCCATATTGTCTTCCTTCCCCTTCACAGTGCAAATTCTCTCACAGAACATTAATTTTGTTTGAAAACAGATTTTTTTAGCTTTGTCTTGCATGCTGTAGTTTTTAACAATTAAACTTTAAGGATTTAGTATTTAAACTTTAACATGTTAGAGTTCTAAATATTTAAACCTAAAACTTTCAAAGATACAAATTAATTGAGGTAACTGGCAGACCAAATAGTGTCTGTCAGTGACTCACAAAATTCTTGTTACTCAAGAGAAAAGAAAGTTAAACATCCCATTCTTCATTCATTCATGGCAACGCTTTCCTTAAATAACCTTTTGACCTCTAGGAAGAGAACGAGACTCAGATGATTTGTTCTAATTTCTTTACAATATTTGACAAACAGGTGTGCTGATATGACTTGATGTAGCTCACCATTAAAACATAGACAACTGATGATCAAAGAAACCAGACTATGACAGAATGTGGTATAAAGCTACATATTTGCATCTCAAAATAGCCCTGTAGTGAATTTAGCTGCACTTTTATAGTCTAGTGCAGGGCTGTCCAACTTTGGCAACTTTAACACTTGGTTACTTCAACTCCCAGAATTCCCCAGCCAAAATGGCTGGCTGGGGAATTCTGAGAATTGAAGTCCACAAGTCTTAACATTGCCATAGTTGGACAGCCCTGGTTTAGTGTTTTGTTTAAGCATTGCCTCAGCTGGGATGATTAATTAATGTAATCCACAGATTATTTTACCTTCACATTTTTTTCACATAACTCAAACAAAATAACAAAAGATGCTAAGTTAAAATCAAATCAACCCATTATAACTTAATGTAAGACATGGAGTCAGGCAGGTCATAAAAAGCCACTCTCTTTTTCATGTTGCAGTGAAAGATATATTTCTTTCCAATTCCCAAAGAACAACAACAGATTGAACCATGTATATTTAAAATGAAAGCAGCCTAATATATGCTCAAAGATCGCATGATGCCTCTGAACAGCATCCCAAATAGCTATTTGCGTGATTAGTAAAATGTTC